ATACAGGCAATAAATTGATTAGGATTAGGATTCTTCCCAAACCTCTTTTACTCTTTTAGACCTATTTCCTGAAGTAGGTGATACCACTCTGTGCTGGAAGATCCAAGGGTGTGTGCTGTAGTCTAAGGTGCTTTCTGTTTGTTCACTCCAAGAAGATGCAGGGAGCACTGAGTGATTTTTATTTCCTAGAAAGCGAGTAATTAGCCAAATAACCCAATAACAGACAACCTCTGTTCTATACCCTCAAATAGCATGAAAAAGCTCCTATTTATTCTGTAACCTTTAAATAACCATGATAAGAAAATAAAAGAAGGGCCACAGGTAATACTACAGAGGTACTAGCATGCAGCCTACCCCAGTTCAAATCTGCGCCTCCACATATGATCTCCTAAGCATGACGAGGGATTACTCCTGAGCACAAAGTCAGGAATAGCCCCTGAGTACTACCAGGTATGTCTCCCCTCCAGAAAAATAGTTATAGACATCTCACATAAGGATAGTTGGTTGCCAAAAATTATAAAGTATTTATGAATCTAAACTGTCTCTGTAATGAAAATTTGGTAAATATCACCACAAAGAGTTCATTCCAGAAATGTAAAAATAATTCAACATTAGAAAACCGTGAATATAATTGTAATATTACTAGGGCAGATTTTTAAAATTATTTCTATTATTGCTGAAAGTGTATTTAAGTCACATTTCCTAGAAAACTTCCCAATAAAGTTTATTATTATCCGGAGCCAGAGCAACTGTACAGCAGGTGAGGCATTTGCCTTTCACATGACCAACCCAGGTTTGATTCCTGGCATCCCATGTGGTCCCTGATCTTGCTAGGAGTAACCCCTGAGCATTGCCATATGTGACCCAAAAACCTCAAAAGAAAAAAAGAAAAAGTGACTGAATACCCTTTCAGCATAATAAACTTACTAATGAAGTTCATTTCTTCCTAATAAAAAATCTTGATATTTTTCTTGCTATTATTTGAGTACCATGATTTGCAATACTGTTAATGGTATTTTCATGATATATCATTTCACATCTTTACCAGAGTCCCAAGAACACTCCTCCCCACCCAACTCCTTCCCAATTCTTAGTACTAAGCTTTTTAAAGAATCACATTTTCATAATATCAAAAATAAGTAACCAACAATAGACTTAGAGGAAAACTTATAAGATGATATCCTTATTAACAAAAAAGGTATATAAAAATATACACATTTGACATATATGTGTGTATGTGTGTGTGTATATATATATATATATATATTATATGTATGTAGAGCTGTAGCACTGTCCTCCCATTGTTCATCGATTTGCTCAAGCAGGCACCAGTAACATCTCCATTGTGAGACTTGTTACTGTTTTTGGCATATCGAATACGCCACGGGGAGGTTGCCAGGCTCTGCCATGCAGGCAGAATACTCTTGGTAGCTTGCCTGGCTCTCCGAGAGGATGGAGGAATCAAACGTGGGTCGGCCGCGTGCAAGGCAAACACTCTACCCACTGTGCTATTGCTCCAGCCGATGTATATATATATATATATATATATGTGTGTGTGTGTATATATACGTGTATATATGCATATATAATGCAGATGTAGTACAACAAATGTTCATTCCCCCTGTACCTTTCCTCTCACTGCTTGGTAATCTTTGTTTTGTAATCCAAGGCCAAGGGTTTGTCATCATTTGATACTATTTCCTTGTTTCGTTTTGTACACCACAGCTGAGTGAGATCATTTATATTTGTCCTTCTCCCTCTGACTTATTTTACTTAATGTGACACGCTCCAATTCCATCCACATTACAACAAGCCACAAGACTGCATCTTTTTTTTTATAGCTGAGTAGTTTTCTGTTGTGTGTATGGTATGAAATTTTGTGGGGGAGTGGTAATGAAAATCTTCTGCAAATAGAGAATGATGATAGATGCAGAATTCTGAATGTTTTTAGAAAACTGAACTTTAAATGCATGTACCTTATTTTATGAATTTCACTTCAGTAAAGCTGCTGTTGAATAGCACATAACTATCAAAATCTGTTGTTTTACACCAGGTGTGAAATATGTAAAAGTATGGGGTTGGAGAGATAGTATAGCTGGTAAACACTTGCCTTGCATGTATGTGACCAACCCAGGTTTGATCCTCAACACCTCATATGGCCCCCCAAGCCTGCCAAGAGTAATTCCTGAGTGCAGAGCCAGGAGTAACCCCTGGCAAGCCAGGTATGGCCCCAAAACCAAATTAATTATTTTTAAATGAAAATTTTTAAATACACAAAAAACTATAATGCATGGTAGAAAATGTTAAGAAAGAGGAAATTATTCTGCATATAATAATACATATCAGAGTATTTATGTCAAGTGTGAAACTGGTATAGGAACAGACAAAACCATTTAATTCTAGTACTTACACATACTAAGGAAGCAGTATATAGTAACGATGGTGTTTCTCAGTGCTAACAGTATGGATTATTTATGAAATAGTGTTTCACATCTAGCTAACTCTGTTAATCAGCATTTTTATTTAAAAGTAGCAGGAAAAAATCCAGACAAGCTTAGACAGAGACAGATTTAGGAAAAGATACGGTATTGGGTAGTTCAGTCTGTGGAGAACCAGCTCAGCGATGTCATGTATATATGTCTCAGCATGTCTGACTCCCCCACGCCCCCCTCCCCAGACTCAGGCCTGGACTGAGGCACCATCTTTACTGCCAGGGGTGGGGAAGGGACGCCCACCACCTTCGCACATAGCAGGAGGCAGCACGCTGCAGCACTTCCTAACCCAGATAGGAAGGTGTCCAAATGCCAGGAAGCCCAAAATGACAGATTTATACTAACATTTGGATTAGCTCAAATTAGAACCATTCTTTCTATCATAGACCAAAATTAATTCCACATGGATTCCCATGGAATGTAAATGTAAAACTTGAGACCATAAAAATACTTGAAGAAAATACACGTGAATGTTTATGTAATCTTGGTTTGGGAAAGTTGTGAGCATGATATAAAAATCAGAAAGCCATTAAAAATGTCAGGAGGGAATGTTAAGTGATCGAGAAAGTGAATCATGGTCTGTTAAATATATAGATATTAAAATGGTATATGCCAAAACGTTAACAGTGGTTTTCTCTGGAAGATGTGACTAAAGAGGTCCCTCCTCCATTCCTCCTCCCTATTTTGTAGGATTTTTTTTCAAAACTTTTTGTTGCTTTATATATTTAAAAACTGTTAAATTTGTATTATGAATCACTTGGTTGGTTGACCAGTTTGTGAGAATACTAAATATCTGGGTCTCCATAGGTAAAGTTTGGTTCTAAGCTCTACAGGAGTGAGAATCATTCTTTTCTGAGCAGGTGATAAAACAGTGGGTTTAGACACACAGCACTATAAAAAAGATGGTTTTAAAGTAACTTTTGGAATTTGCTCCATCTGGTGGCACTTTAAAAGGAAGAACTGAATAACTAGATGGTGACTGTAAGAATGCTCCCAAGATTACGATGTTTCTCTTACCTCCCCTCGTGTTTTTTGTTTTGGTTTGTTTTATTTGGTCATGTTTTTTAAGAAAAACCATCTGGTCGACTAGAACCATACTAGTTCAGGCTCAGGACATTGGCATCTGAGGAGATGCATTACAGATGTGTATGTTCTGGAGATAATATTCATGGTGACCTCTATTTCATCACTTGATGCTCTTATCTTTAAATAGTGATTGGCCCATTATTTCCTGATCGCTGGTAATCCTTTGATCTGATAGTGGCTCTCTTCCTTTGGATCCCTATTTCAGTACAGGATGCTCAACATCTCCTTGACATTAACAGACATAAAGCTGGGTTCTTCTGTGAGTCACCTGAATGAAATGAAAGGCTCTTCACAGAAACCTTGGTACTTGGTTAGGGATGAAGGGAGCCCTACAAGTTCCAGAAAGGCTTTTTATTGGCACATTTATGTCCTAGTCTGAGAGATCTAGAGAAACAAAAAAAGGAAAGGGAAAACAAAAACAGATGCTTATTTCTTTCTTGTCAACCAACTGCTTTCTACCTTGTGAATGAAAAACAGACTTTCTGGCTTTTCATTTCTCTTTCTTAATTATTTTTTAATATTCAGAACATATGAATCAATACACATTGATCTTACCAGGATTATCTGGTTCAGATTGTCATGATCTAAGAATAATTTTTTTAAAAATCAGACTTCTGTGATCATGTCCTTAAGGGACTCATTGGGTATTTCTGTTATTTTTATTTCTCAGTCATAAACAGCTTGACTCTGAACTTATATAAGTTTTAGTATTTTCATGTCCTCATCCTTCATGTTAATGTAGGAACCCCATTGCTCTAGACTGAAACTAAATTGGTCTACAACTGCTTTTGATATTTTGTGGCTTAGTTATACAGTTTCACCTAAACCACTTTTGCAAGATAAATATAAAACGACTTAGAAATATTTGTAATTTTTCAATCATTCATTTCCTAAAAGCTTTCACAATTTTCTCTGGTTTAAATTTTAGTTTGTCCTCTTCCTCTTATGTAGTGTAAAGCAGTTAACAGCTAAATGAAGGCGGGATGGGGGGGGAGGTGTTCACTTTTTTTTTTTTGATGGAACTAAGGTGAATTACACATACCTTGACTTCTTTGGCATGAGTGTCTGAGGTTCTGGGGTCAGGGATGTGTCTCACTTGGGAGGATGTATGTCTCACGTGGGTGAATTTAATTCTCAGACTGCAAAAAAAGCGCCAAGCTTGAGATTCTGTCCATAGAACGTGATGACGTTCTGACAAATGCAACACCAGTTCCACAGTGGTTAGTAATGTAGTGGGAGCCTGAGCTGCACCAAGGCACAGTGCCTACCCCTTAGCACTCAGTCCACGCAGAGGAGGGATACAATGAGCAGAGGAGCACACGTGGCCTGGAGAACTCTGGGTAAAACCCTTCCTGCCAAGCAATCCTCAATTAGGCCGGTGTACAGTCAGACTAACGAAAATGTTGTCTTGTTTCTTTCTAGGAGCAGCTTACTGCCAGTTCATGGACATGCTCTTCCCAGGCTGCATTAGTCTGAAGAAAGTAAAATTTCAGGCAAAGCTGGAGCACGAGTATATTCACAATTTCAAACTTCTGCAAGCATCGTTTAAGCGAATGAATGTTGATAAGGTAGGAAATGAACTATAACTCCATAGATACAATGTCTTTCCTTCAAATTATTTCGCACAGAAATGAAAAAAAATTTGGAAACGTATCAATGGAAATATATGTTGATAGAGAAGAGACAGACTGGGGTCTGTATAATTCTCACTTCCTTATTTGTATGGGATGTTTTGTTTGTTTTGTTTTGTTTTTTCATTTAAGGAGATTTTTTTAAAAGATGTAGCCAATAGACTAAAACACTCTAACCGGAATTATCTTAATGTTAAGATATAGTTAGTCCTGTTTTAGCAATGTCAGTGAAGAGTTTTTGTGTTTGCCTTCTAGCTCTGTGATTCTTTGTGCATCTTGTTGCCTTGGAGAAATGGCATGTTACAGCGGAAATCACATGGGTTTGAATCTCAGCTTTATGACTTGAGCAGATTTTTAAAATTCCTTGAGTCCAGGTTTACAGTCTACAAAATGGAACTGTAAGCCCAACCCGTGATTATAAAGCTGTTCATCAACATGCCCAGCATAGTGTATATAGTCAAATTCTTAGTGTCTACAAAGTATTGTTTTCCCCATTGAATTATTCTAATTTTGTGATGGAGTGACAATAAGTGGAGTTAGACTGGAGGCTCAGCATGTGTCCCCCACGTGCCCCCCACCCTCCTACCCCTCACCCCTGGTCAGGGACGATTACTAAAGTCTGCTCCATCCTGCTCTAGATGTTTTCTGCTGCTGCTAAATATATTTAGTCCCAATTTGGGGATACCATGCTGGGATATCAGACCACACCAGTGGCTCTGGGGGCTGTTTCTGGCTCTCTGCTCAGGAGTAACCCCTGGTGGTGCTCAGCTGTGTTGCCAAGAGTTTGAACCAGAGACATGGTTGCAAGGCCAGCCTAGTGTATGTAATCAATATAGTGTATATAGTCAATCCTGCACTATCTCTCCAGCCCCAACCCAGATCTTTTACTTAGCCTATATCTCAGAGGAAGTTAGCCTAGGGGAAAAAAAATGAACCCTGAATAATTGAGAGAGAAACCAACAGGGAAGAAATGTGAAACTTTTCTTTGCATCCATTGGTAAATAGACTGGAAATAATGGGGATGGTCTACAGAGCCGAGTTTACCACGGTAGTGAGATGCAGTGCTTAGGGGACAGGTGAGGGGAAGAACCTGAGACAACAGTGGAGGGAAACAGACACTCTGGTGGCAGGTGTGAAGCGGGTATGCACCATCCATGAAACCCTGTTAGTGACAGTATTGTAGAATTGTAAAGTGTGATGACTAGAATAACATCTTTAAAAAACTGTTCTGAGTTATAAGAAATGGAAGTTAAGAGAGGGAAATTTGGGAAACCATGTATTTTTCAATTTGATGCAATTGAAGTTATTAATATTTAATTTTTTACATTTTGGGGGGCACTTGGGGACCGACCATGTGCAGTCATGCTCCAGAGGCTTCTCCTTCTAGCTCTGTGCTCATAGGCCACTCCTGACTGTGCTCAGGGAGACCGTATGCATTGTTGGAGATTGCTGTAACCTCCTCACCCACCCCCGTACTATCTCTGGACCGCATTGTCTACATTTTTTTAAAGGTGCTCCTTTTAAGATCTGTTTTAGGGCTTCACCGGGTACTCTCAGCTGGCTAAACCACACTTAGAATTTATTCCATTTACATCATTACACAGTGAAGCGGTGGGCTTGGAGCACTGGCTTTCTGTCTAAATCTCATGCTAACAGGCAGCATCCACTTTGTTCCCTACCTTTGTGACCCAATGTTCACATTCAACTTGTATTTCAACCCAAGAGGAAGAAGTAAGAATCTGGCCATGGTGACAATTGGATACTTAAGTACCTTCCATTTTCCTTCAAAGTAGCTGCCCCCTAAATTCAGGCAATCAACCACACCTGTTTTTCTGTCATAATTCTAAAGATTCTATTAAGATTTCCACAGAGAATACTGACTGGCTTTTGAGATCACAGGGCTGGAGTGATAGCACAGCGGGTAGGGCGTTCGCCTTACACGCGGCCAACATGGCCGACCCGAGTTCGATTCCTCCGCCCCTCTCGGAGAGCCCGGCAAGCTACCGAGAGTATTCGATATGCCAGACACAGTAACAACAAAGTCTCCAATGGAGACGTTACTGGGCCCGCTCGAGCAAATCGACGATCAACGGGAGGGCCTTTACCTTTACCTTTTACCTTTGAGATCACCAGAGGGAAAGGTATCTGCATGCAAATCCGAGGTTCCTCTAAGAAGCTGGCCTGAGTGCCGGCATCTCCTGCTCCAGAATGCCTCTGTGTTCCCCTTCCCTCGCTCGCACACATTTCCCTCTCAATTCCCAGGGCTCATCTGTGCTCCTGTATATTCCTGAGTTATCAAGCCTGTGGTTATATCGCGTTGTTCCAGAGGAACTGTCAGATGGTTATTATATTTGCATTGATTTCAGTCTTATTCACTCTCTCTGCACTGGTGATGCAGTTTATTCTACAACATGAAATGAAGAAATGGGGGCAAATAAATCCATTAGTGTTGTAACGCAAGCCCATGCATTTGGGAGGAGATGCTTTGACGATAAACATACCTTGAAAAGGATCAGCCCTGCTCAGGGCTTCAGGGATCCCTGTTTTGTCCTATTTGCTCACAGGAGAACCAACACCAACATTTTCCTTTACTTGTGTAATAGCAATAGAAAGTTATATAAGTTCTAGAATGCCCGGTAAAGAAGCCCAGAAGAGACTTGTCATCCTGAGTTCCTGATGTGGGCGATGTAGTCTAGTTCAGGGAACAGTTTAATTATATTCAATACAACAAGCACTCCTGAGGTTTGCATTTCACACAGTAATTTTTTATATTGCAGGTCATTCCAGTGGAAAAGTTAGTGAAAGGCCGTTTCCAGGACAACCTGGATTTCATTCAGTGGTTTAAAAAATTCTATGATGCTAACTATGACGGGAAGGAGTATGATCCCGTAGAAGCACGACAAGGGCAAGATGCAATTCCTCCTCCTGATCCTGGCGAACAGATCTTCAACCTGCCAAAAAAGTCTCACCATGCAAACTCCCCCACAGCAGGTATGTTAACAGGGAAACACGAGTCGCTGGCATTTGGGAAGGCTCAGACCTGCCCGTGCCTTCCTCTGGGTGAGCCCTCCCAGCGGGAGGCTTGTGTGCTCTCAGTGATTTGAACCATTGTCTCTAGTCTTTGTTTATATGTCTGACAGTGACCTTGCTATAGTCAGTGATTTGCACAACTGAAAAAGAACAGTTAGTCACCTTATGGCTACCCTGGATGCTTAAAACTCCGAGGATAATTTTCATTTTCCTTCTATTTTTATTTTATTGGAGAAATTTCAACTAGTCTTTTTTTTTGTATTTTTATTGCTTAAATGCTGACAGAAAACACCAGAATATGAACCGATTTATTCTTTTTGGGGGGTGGGAAGGGGGCCTCCCAACGGTGCTCGGGTGCCCACCACAAAGCTCAGCCATCCAGGTGATGATGGTTCAGAGTTAGGGCTGAAAGTAGAGGGCGGCTCAGACCCTGTGAAGCTGGGCAAGCCCAAAAATGATGGGGTCCTTTAGACCCACACCCAGAAAGGCTCTGGAGCCTTGTCATGCCAGGGAACAGACACAAGTGATCTTGCATGCTCCTTAACTATTTCCCCAGCTTCTCTTTTCTACTTTTGAGTGTGCATCATCATGTTCATTTATGCTCTATGAGTTCTCCATCACCTGTAATTCTCATGAGTTGTGCCTCTATCTTCTCTATGGGCAGTGTTGATTTTCCTTCGATAATATTCAGCAAAAACTCATTTATCCAACGTGGTCCAAAAGTGAAGTCATTGAGGACAGGTATTTAGAATTTGGCACTTTTTAACTTCTGTGCATTAAAAACCTTTCTAAAATACATCATTACCATCCCTACCTTAGAAGCCCTGGTGTTCAACAAGCAGAATGAGTTCTTGTAAAATTAGGGTCATTGCTATAAACACCAGTTGTGGAACTTGGCAATTAAATAGTGACATCCTCATAAGCCATGTGTTTCTATCTCCAGCGTGGAAGCCAGTGTTCACACTTGTTCTATTAGTAACCTTGATTTGGTAGAGTACAAATCACTTGTCTGTGCTCAGTCTGCAATGAGAATGGATTAGAAATTGTTAACAGCACTAATACATAATTATAGGCTTGTAATCAGTTTTCCTCACAGTTCCAACAACCTTTTTGTTTTTCCTTCACTGTTCTCTTCCAGAAAAACTGAGACCATTGGAAATATGGTGCTGTTTTTTAAAATATAAAAAATGTATAAGAATTATTATTATATCATTATATCTTTAACTAGTTCTCAGATGCTTCCAAGAGAAAAAGGGTAGGGAGAGGAGATGAAAAGAAGGGAACAAGAAACAGAAGAAAGCAAAGTAGGTCAATGTTGGCAGGTTGGAGTTGGAGCGCCGGCTATCTGGATGTTCGTTTTATTATTCCTGTTTTAAAGTTGCTTTGGCTTTGAAAGTTTTCAAAGTAAAATTGCCCCTGAGTGAGCAGGATAGGGGTATCTTTGAAATTACAGTTGTTCTCCCTCCTTTTCCTTGGATGATATGGTTATATAATTGCTGTCATAAATAGTGTTTTTCTTTCATTAAGAGAAATGAAAAGAAAAGCTATTATTTCTATTACATACATGGAATATTGCCATTTATTTTCCTTGGTTGCTAACTTTGCAGCCAGACTTGGCTTTAAATCACCATGTCTGGGCCGGAGATGTGGCTCCGTGGGGGAGCATGAGGCTTACATGTATATAAAGCCCTGGTCTGATTCCCAGCACTGCATGATCCCCTGAGGACCACAGGGACAGTACTTCCCCCTCCCCCGGGATTAGCAGGTATGACCCCCAAACCAAAATAAACATGTAAATTACCGTGTCTGCTATTTGGTGTGAGTTCTTTCACCCTGCCCAGGCTTACATGCTCTTATCTATAAAACAGAGATAGACCTATGTTATGTATACCGAAAGACACAGCTAATACATGAGAACGCCTTATCCTCACTGGGACAGTGGATGGATCCTTATTCCTTTGTATTAAATAGTGATAGTAGAAATGAAGAGGAATAGATGGACCTGGGAGATATTTAGGAAGTAAAATAGATTGGAGTTTGGTAATGGTGCGTATCAGGCTAAAAGAGCTCTCACAAGGCTGTGTTAACAAGACTCGGAAAGAAATGGTAAGTTGTCAAAGATACTGAGTTTCGGATTCCACTGTGACATGGGAGAGAAGATCTAAATAGGCAGATAAATGTGTGTGTGTGTGTGTGTGTGTGTGTGTGTTTGTGTGTGTGTGTATGCGTGCATACGCACATACACACTTGTCTGGAGAAGCACGGGCCAGAGGTAAACATACGTGATTCTTCCACACTTAGGGATATTGAAGCTGGAGGTAAACTGAGTGAGGAGAGGGTGCTTTGAAGAACACACCTAGTACACAGGTTGTTGTACAAATAGGAAAGGCTTGGCCAGAAAACCGGAAGATGCCAGAACTGTCTTAGAAAACAGGGATGATGTGTCATGGAGTCAAAAAGAAGGGAACGGTAGAGCATTCGGCAGTATCTCGATTTATTGAGGTGTCAGATGCACTAGACTAATAGAACCCACTGATTTCTCTATTATGGTGGGGTGCATGGATCAGGAGTGAGTTGGGGAATGAATTGCAAGCTGAAAGCATAAAAGTCAAACTTTGGAGCAATAAAACAAATGAGCTTATAGAAAAGAAACTAAGCACAAATATTTGGGAATTCATGCTTTCTTTTTGTTTTTGTTTTTTGAATTGAATCACCAAGATCATACCTTTAAGGGGAAAGAGGAAGTTGAGAAAAAGTTGAACATCCATTTAAAACAAAATAGGCATGCTCAAGCATCAAAGAACAACAGCAGGACATTAATCTAGAAAGAGAGATCCTGGATTCCCGGATGGTGGTAAATATTCATTGTGGAGAGATCAGATGGGGTGACGCTTGAAAGGATGCCCAAGGAATCTGACTTCGAGATGATGATACTCCTATAGAGAATTGGTCCATTAGAATGCTGAGCGTACACACCTCAAGTTCAACAGCTGACAAGGTCGTGACAAATGTGAGAGTGATTCCAGAGCAGGTTCTCCTTTAGCAGAAGTATCAGGAAAAAGACGTTAAAGGAACGTTAGGCTGGTTTAGGGCACAGGTTTCCAAACTCATTTGGCCTTGTTTTCAGCAAAAGAGAAGACAAAATTACTCTCCCCTGAGATAGGGAAGGGACCACCAAGTAAATGATGCTTGGAAGGCTCTCTTTTGGGATGGGAGATGTGTGCTGAAAGTAGACTATGGACTGAACATGATGACCACTTAGTATTGCAAACCATAACACCCACAAGGAGGGGGGGAGGGGGGGGGAATGTGCTGCCACAGAGGTAGGGGGAATGGGGGGATGGCAGGAGGCTACTGGAAACATTAATGGTGGAGAATGGGCACTGATGGAGGGATGGGTACTGGATCATTGTATGACTGAAATGTAATCACCGAAGTTTGTAAATCTGTAACTGTACCTCACGGTGATTCATTGAAAAAAAAAAGAAGATATGTAGAAAAGAAAAATAAATTACTCTCCTGTGGCCTGCAGTGGAAATCTGCCGCCTTTTAATGAGCAAACAGAGGGCACTGTGCTTCTGCTCTCCTGTTGCAACCACCATTCTTCCATTCTTCCATTTTACCCTAAAAAGGGCAATATCAGGAAACACTAGGGGTGGGGGGGCGGGGGCTTGGAGAACTGAATATGGAGGGGGTGAGGTATGGTCCTCCAACCGATTTTGTTGTTTTTAGGACAAGGCACCCTGAGCAGGTTTGTAAAAGGGAGAAAGGTCCATGAAGAAGCAGTCATTGGATGTGGAAAGAAGCAGAGGGAAAATCGTGGAGCAGGACCCTGAAGCTAGAAAGAGGAGTTGAGGTCAAGGCATCAGGAGGGGTGAAGAGGAAAGAGAGTAATTCCTCTCTTCCATGGGAGAGGTAGGATCCAAATTAATAGTGAAGAGTTTGGGCAATCCAAGTTGCCCTTCAGCTTTTGTGACAAGAGCTGGCGTGGAGAAGAGGGTGACATGTTTTCTCCAGAGCTGGGGATCCAGCAGGCAGAGGAAGTGGGAGGACGAGGAGGTGGAGAAGCAAGGGTGGATGGTGTTTCTCATCTTCAGGCCTTTTTCCGTAGCTGCAAGGATTTGTACAGATTCATCTGGGAACCCAGCTGCCACTTTTCCAAGTTCTCAGTGGTGAAGTTGGACAGGCCTCAGGATATTTTTCTTCCACAATCATAGTGTGTCCTTAAGTTGGCACCAGCCCTCAGACTCCCCCAAACAGAACTGTCATGCCGCCTGGGCCTTGTCGTCGAGGAATTCCCTCATCTGTCTTTCACCACAGTCAGAGAGCTACTGGTGCCATTTTGATAGGGAGAATTCGTGACCCTGAAAGGCATTCTCCACTCCTCCCCACCCCACCAGGATACTGACTCCCAAAGATAAAGCCGGGGATATAAATTGAAATCCACAGATAGTAAGTGTGGTGTGTTAATGCACCAGAAGGTATTCCTGAAACACATTCCTGGTACCTTGACTGTTCAAAACCTCATTGGTCTTAATCAGAGAGAAGGGATATTTTTTAAAAATTTTTATTAGCGAAACACCAGGAGGTACAGTTGTGACTTACACATTATTGTGCTTGGATTTCACTTATACAATGATCAAGTACCCATCCTTCCACCAGTGCCCATTCTCCAATACCAATGATCCCAGTACCCCTCCCACTCTTCCCCCCCCCCCCCCCACCATCCCACCCTGCCTCTGTGGCAGGGCATTCCCTTTTGTTCTCTCTCTCCTTTTGGGTGCTGTGGTTTGCAAAAGAGGCATTGAGTGGCAATCATGTTCAGTCTATAGTCTCCTTTCAGCATGCATCTCCCATCCTGGGAAGATCCTCCCAACACCCAAGAAAGGAAATTTTTTAAAAATCAAACCAGTCTTTCCCTTTGTCATCTAAAGTTTTCTGACTGCTAGAAAGGCAGTAAA